GGGGGGGGGGGCGGGGGGGATATTGGCCGATCAGTGAGTGAGGGGGTGTCCCCCAGCAGGTAGTCTACAAGAAAGGGGGGGTAGTCCCCCACAACTGATCGGCCACCCCATGCGGCCACCCCAAGTACCCCCAGGGGTATGCGTACCCCCACTTGAAAACCCTTGTTATAATACATCATAATATAATGTGTTGTATTTAAAATGTCATATATTTGGATATTATATATATACACTGCCACTTTGTAGCACATCCCCCAGCCCTCCTGGGGGTGCGGGCCCCCAGAACTAAACACCACATGACGGCATGTTGTTGCTGCTGGCTGGGGCCATCAGCAGCAGCCTCCTGTGATCTGGCAGGCAGATCGGGGGCTCACACCATGGGGAGGGCTGCGAGGCTCTGCTGGACTCCTCCCGGGAATACAGGCGGGCCCCTAATCTGCCTGCAGGATCACAGGAGGCTGCTCCTGCCACCTGGGACCAGTGGCAGCTCCAATCTTCCTGGCACTGGGTGCAGGCTGTGCCGGTACCAGGCAGCAGGAGCCAAACCCCTGGGAGGAGTCTGGTGCAGCCCCCACAGCCCTCCCAGTGGTGCAGGCCCCCCGATTTGCCTGCTGGATGACAGGAGACTGCCGCTGCCGGCAAGCAACAGTTTTGCTTGTCAACAACTTGAGGTGCAGTTTCCCAGAACCCTATGCACCTATCTCCTTCAAACATGGCAGGCTTCATGCCCTCAGAAGGGGTTTCCATGCCTGCAAGCTTCATCCAAATCAGGCTAGAAATGACAAAGTTATAGGCAGTTTCATGCTTCCCCCTTATAGCCTATGGGCAAAATGTCGAAACAGCATCAAAACAGCAAAACAGTTTAGACAAAATGAAACAGAACAGTGCTTTCAAGACTAAACAAAACTGGAAATGAAACACTGTTCTGTCAAAATGATGAAGTGGAAGTCAAAGTGGAACGGTGCTGTTTTGCATAGCCCTAGTATATAGCTGTACCAGCATGGTACTGCACCCAGGGTAATCAGATGCACTAAAAAGCAAGACTTATTAGCCTGGGAAATTCTACAGCACTGCACTGTGCCAGGACTAACATGGTATCTCTATATGGCATATGTACTGAGAAGATATATTGTAATTATTCTCTATGGTACTTAGCACCCAGGAGACGGTCTTTTCTAGAGAACATAAAAATCTGAAGATACACATTAGACAGGTGCAGGACTAAGAGGATTATTTTCAAGTGGTGTCAATGGAAAAACAAATCTGCAGGAAGGATGGAAATGAGGCAAGGGTGGGAGTCTCTCAGCCCAAGATCATAATAGGTATTCCATTTATATATGGCAATATGGACATCAAAGAGGGAAGCAGACAAACAATATATTGAAGTTGGAGCCACTGGTAGAAGAGGAGATGGGCAGGCTGAGAGACTGCAATAAAGAATAACAACTAGTAAGTAGGGGAGGTAGTTTTACAAAGGTTTATGTTTATGCTCTTACAATTCTGAGATTATTTGTCTAATTTCAGTGACTTACAACCAAGGTACCAAAGCACTCTAGCGTGCCATAAGATTCTTTTAAAGGTACCACTAAATATCAGCACTGTTAGAACGATGTACCATTCAGAATCTAAACCCAGAGATTTCAAATAAGGAATCCACAGTGTCAAAAACATTCTGGAACTTCCTGTGGTCTGAACTCTTCCCAACTAAAGAATGACTCTATTATTTTTCAATGGTCAAAAGCAAGTAAAAGCCAAGATTTACCAAAGGGTGCCTTCAGTTTAACAAGGGGTGGCTCCAGTTTAATGAGGTTTGACCACTGTCCAATCTTCTGTGTACCCAGGAATTGTACCACCAATATTAATTGTGTAGTTTTCCTACCTTAGAAATTAAAGTAGGAAAACTACACAATTAATATTGATGAAATAAGAAGTATGTATAATGCTCTTAAACTAGGATCAGAGGAATATAGGGCTCGAAGGGACCTCATGATGTCATCTAGTACAGACCCCTGCCTAAACCACCCCAGCCAAATGTCTGTCTAGCTTGTTCCAGTGCTCTACCATCCTTATAGTTAGAAAGTTCTTCCTAATTTTCAACCTAAATTTCCTGAGACAGCTTCAGGCTCCTGCTGCTAGACCTGTTCTCTAAGGCCACGGAGAACAGTCTATCTCCATCCTCTTCATAATTGTTCTTCAGGTATTTGAAGATTTAGACAATCCCACTCCCACCCTCAGTCTTCCCCTCTCCAGATTAAATAACCCTAGTTTCTTTCAGTCTTTCCTCATAAGTCTTGCCTCCCATACCCCTAGTCATTTTTGTCACTCTGTGCTGGACACTTTCCAATCTTTCCACACCTTTCTTAAAGTGTTGGGCCAAAAATTGGGTACAGTACTTCAGGCAAGGTCTCACCAGTGCCAAATAAAGAAGATGAGGCAACTGAACTGTCTCACTTAGGCACCTGGCACAAGTTACACTTAGGACATAATTAACCAGTTAATCACATCTTAAGTAGTTACCCAGCCACACATTAATGCAATTAATGGCATGATAAAACAAGAAATAAGCCGCAACATTATTACATTAAAAATGTGTAATAACTTCATGGCTGGCTCCTATTACACCATTATCTGAATGTGTGGTCAGGGCTCCCAATCTCCAGGAAGCATGGGAGCCCTTTTCTTTCTTCCTTTTCATCTGATTGCTGCTCCGAGCCCTGGGGACACAGAGTTAAGGGCTCCAACATGGCCGAGGCTGGGAGCCATGATCA